CAGCTAAACAAAGTCGGGGGTTTCTGCTCTCCCTTGACCTTCCCCACGAGTGGCCCCTTCCCCTCCTGTGAGACCAGCAGTTCCTGGAGGAGGCCTGGCAGGTTCCTGTCTGGGAAGGAGCGGGTGGGAGAGCTGGGAGGGGCAGACACTCCTCACCAGGCCCAGTGGCTCATCGCAGGTGTCAGGGCCAAACCCCACGTTCACAGATTCCCAGGAGATCCAGGAGATAAGAGTAATATCCGTGACAGCACTAAGCCATCAGGAAGCACCTGGCAGCAGAGGAGATGCCTCCCTCCCTTCTACCCTTGCCCTTTCCTTGAAGGCCAGCTAACCCTGAACAGCGCTGTCATGGGACAGAGGGCTCAGGAGTGGCACAGCAAAGGGGGGGTGAGGTCCCTGCAGTCTGGTGCTACCTGTCAAGGGGAGATCAGGGCAAAGGAGAAGCATCCAGAAGCATCCAGGTGGCCAGAAGGAGGCCACCCTCCCTAGGTGTTTCATCAAAGCTGCTGCCTCCAGAAAGCCCTCCCTTGTGGACCCTGTTCACACTCTGAGCTCCCCTTCGTTGCACTTGGCACCCTTAAACCACAGCTTGGGGCCTCAAGGGTGTGAGCTCCCTGAGAGCCAGAGCAGAGTCTGCTTGGTCCCAGCCCAGCGCCCCATCTTTGGTGCAGGCCCTGGCATACAGTAGACGTCCGATAAGTACTTGAGGTGTATTCAGTGCTGGGCTCTTGGAGTGGTTCTTCCTGAAGGCCGCAGTCAGGAGGGAAACTGTGAGGAACCCTGCAGGAAGCGGTGGGTGGCAAAGGGCGACTCTGTTCCCAGGAGGCCCCTACAGCTGGGCACGGGGTACGTGCTGGGCAGGTTCACCCCATGCCGCCCAAAGGGCCCTCCTCCCCTCTACTTTGGCCCACCCTGGAGACCTCACCCTCCTCATCCCTTTCCTGGGGCTGGATGGGATTGGATCCGTCTTGTACCTAACAAAGCCCACCCTGGAACTCAGGACCAGGAGAACTCGGGGTAGGAGGGATCCCTTCCGGAGCCGACAGCTTTGAAAGAGGAAACCCCTAGTGGGCTGGCACAGCAGAGAGGAGGGGAAGGAGTGAGGGCAGGAGGGTCGCCCCACCCCCTCCCGTCCTAGGACCTGTTCTAGGGGGAAAGGGGGAAGCCAGGGATCAGCCCCCTCAAACAAGAAAAACTGGAATTAGCACTGAACTCAGAGGGTTTGCTGGGGCTTAGCAAGCTGTGGCCTGCCCCAGGCCTCTGGGCACGCGGTGGGGCTCTGCCTCCTCTGTTCCCAGGGTGGCAGGGCAGGCGCCGCCTCCTCACTGGGCTCGTGGCCTCTCCTCTGCCAAGGGCGGCCGTGGGTGAGGAGGCGGCCAGACACAGGACAGAGCAGGGGGCCGGAAGGGGTGCCAGCTAACCACGCAAGCAGGTAAAACTGAACTTCCAGAGTGTAAAAGGAATGTGTAATTTCTCGAAAATGCCCCAGCCTGCATTGGCACACACAGTAAGCCACTCAGTGAACATTCTCTCAGTGCAGAGTTTAAAAAAAAAAAAAAAAAAAAAGCGCAATTTATCTTTTACCCTCCAAGAGGATAAAGTTTGAAAAGCACCATTAGCCTCCTGGGCCTCTTCCTCCTGGGCCTTGTTAGTTCAGGGATAAGGGCTGCCCTCCCTTGTTTAGCTGTCACTGCTGCTAAGGGGGTGCCGGAGTGCCTGACCTTACAGGGTGCTCATTGGAGTTGGGGGCACGCCAGCACTCAGGCCCCTGCTGGGTACAGGATGAATGCAGTGGGGAGTGTGGATGCTGGGGCGGTTCTTGAACAGCCAGTGTGTGGGGCAGGACCAGACCCCTGTTGCAGGCCTGCCTCGGCCCCCTTTCCTCTGAGGGCTGGGGCTGGGCAGGTGTGGAGGGCTGGATGGAGAGGTCTTTCTCTTCAGGCTGCCTTTGGGCCTCGCAGGGGTAGGGTATAGCCACATGGTCTAGGGAAAGAGCAGAGGGTTGGAGGGTCCTACCACTGGAGGCCTCTTCCTGCTGGCTGAGGGTCCTGGTGGAAGCTGGAGCTGCGGTGGGTGTGAGTGAGGCTGCCGGGGCTGGAGCTGTAGGTGATTTGGAAGGAAGTCTGGACAAAGGGCTCCTTGAGCCTGGGCCTGCTGAGCCGGGCCTGCCCCTCATGCAGAGGACTCCCTCTCCCCCTCCCAGGGGCAGATAAGACCTTGCCAAAGCCTCAGCCCCCTAACCTCTTCGAAGGCCCCCTCTCCTGACCTGGAGACTGCCTTCAGGCTCTGGACATTCTCCTCGTGGAGCCTTGTCCTCTGCTGTTTATTTGTGTTGCCTGGGGGAAATAAGTCACCCCCTTAGGGTAAAGAGGGGCTGGGGGTGGATGGAGAGCTCATGAAAGTCAGGATTGCAGCCAGGGAAAATGCTGTATTATTTACAAATGTGGCCTGGCCCACAGACAACCTTGGAAGTAGCTTCTTTCTGGTTTTAAAAAGACACCGACATTGACTTTCGATATGTTTATATTATAGATATAATACATAAAACATCTAGGGTGAGACTCTACGTTCTCCCCAAAAGAAGAGAACCAAGCCGTCTTTCCCTGCTCCCAGCCCCAGTGATGTGTTGGCGAGAGGCCACCTCCCTTCCCGACCAGGAGCCAGGGCCTCTGGGGGACAAGCCTTGTGGGCAGCCCAGGCCGGAGGGGCCGGGGAAAGCTGAGGGCAAAGGAGAACTCCCCTCACCTCATTGGTCCCCCAGGATCAAAAGCAATCCCAAAACCAAAAGGAAAGAGAGTCTCAGACCCTTCCCCCAGCTGCCGACGGAGAGTCTCATTTTGGCAAGTATCCGAGCAAAACCAAAACAAAACAAAAACCAAATAAAATGGTGGTTTAGCAGAGACGCGCACATTCACATTGCACAAGGCACTGCTGGGGCACAGAGGCCAGATACAAGTGTTGATATCGGCTGATAAAGCAAAATATTTGGAAAGCTTGTCATAACTCCGGTCCCTCTGGGATGGACTGATCGTGCTTCGTGTTCCTAGGCAATGCTGAAGGCATACAGTACAAACAAGGCTGAGGGTCCCAGTGGCCCTTCACCCCTCAAGTCCGCCCACGGCCAGATCTCTAGGTCTCCATCTCCCACCAGGGGTATACATCCTCAGAGCTGACTCACGACCTAGCTTTCTGGTCTAACTCGTGGTGGGGGCTCCCACTGGTCACCTGGTGACTCCCATCTCAGTGAGTTCCGCCCCAAGGGAAAGCCCAGCCTATAGCAGGCTGGGGTGGGGTGTGTGCGGAGGGAGCTGGGAGAGGCGTGGAACTAGACCCTCCACCTTCATGTAGAACTAGGGGAACAACCTTAGGTTTCAAGCCCCAAGTCCCTATGTTTCCCCCCATTTCTAAGGACAGGCTCGGAGGAGCGGCTGGGGCCGGTTGGCTTGTCGGGATCTCAGCTCCCCGAGCCCTCCTCCTGCCACGGGCCTGCTCCCCTCCTCCTTTCATGGGGGCCTGCTGCAGCCTCGGGAAGGAGGCAGGAAACCTCCAAATAAAATGACAAGGCACGATTTGCTCCCCCTACTCGGTAGGCATCGGAGCGGTGAGTTTGCATTTCCAAGGCACAAGGTTATCCTTAATACTAAAGTTGCCGGGCTCCCAGCTCAGCCCCAAGAATTCTCCCCTCCTCGCAGGGAGAAGTCACCGCCTGGCCCCCTCATCTCAGACGCACCAAGTCCGGCGCAGAAGAAGGGAGGGGACACGCGGAGCAGGCCAGGCTTTCAGGAGGCACCGGAATCTCCTAGTCCTGGCTCGCATGGCTCGGGCAAGCCTCGAGATCCAGCGACCCCAAACCACCCCTGGGTCCCCGTCGGAGGCTGGTCCAGGGCGGTCCCGCAGCCGCGCGCCTCACGCGCAGTTGCCCATGGCCTTGACCAAGGAGCTCTCTGGCAGCTGGCGGAAGATGCCCCGCAGCGTGTCCAGTTCGCGGCTCAGCTGTTCCACCCGCTTGCGCAGGCGGTCATTGTCACTGGTCAGCTCCAGCACCTTCTGCTGCGTCTCCACGTTGCGCTGCTTGGCCTTGTCGCGGCTCTTGCGCACCGCGATGTTGTTGCGCTCGCGCCGCACCCGGTACTCGTTGCTGTTCTTGTCCACCGACTTCTTGGCCTTGCCCGCGCCTCCACCGCCACTCGCGCGGAGGTCGGGGTGCGCGGCGCCCAGCCCCTTGAGCGCGCCGCCTGGGCCCGGCAGGCCGGCGGCGCCGAGCGCGGGCGCGGGGTGCGGGCTGGGCACGGGCGTGGGTGGCGGCGTAGGGTGACCGGGCTGCAGGTGCATGGTGGTCTGGCCGCAGTGCGCTATCTGGAACTGCAGGTGCGGGGCGGCCAGGTGCGCTGGCGGCGGGTGCGGGTGCGAGGGCGGCGGCGGCGGCGGCGGCTGGTAAGGGAAGAGGCCGGCCAGCGCCAGCTGCTTGGCTTCATCCTCCTCGCGGGGCTCCTGCTTGATCACTAGCGGCCGCAGCGCCGGCGCCCCGACGCGCTCGTACAGGGGCTCCAGCCTGCCGTCCAGGTAGCCGGCGGCCGCGCAGCCGTAGCCGGGCGGGGGCCCGTGCGCTCCCCCGGGCATGACGGCGCCCCCGGGGCCCGCGGGCGCGCCCGGGTAGTCAAAGTCGCCGCCGCCGCCGCCGCCCGCGGGGCCCGCGGCCGCCTTGGCCTTCTCCTGCTGCCGGCTGTGCTGGAACAGGTCGGCCAGGAACTCGTCGTTGAAGGCGGCCGGGTCGATGTAGGCGCTGATGTCGATGGACGTCTCGTGCTCGCAGATGCCGCCCAGCGGCTCCGGGGCGGCAGGTGGGGCGGGAGGCTGCGCGGGGCCCGCGCCGCGGGGAAAGCCGAAGGCGGCGCTGCTGGGCGCGTGCGGGGGGCTCTGCAGGTGGCTGCTCATCGGGGGCCGCGGCTCCGCCTCGTAGAAGTCGGCCGACTCCATGGGGGAGCTAGAGTTCTCCCGGCATGGCGAGCCTCGGCGGCCTCCAGCCTGCGCGGGGCGTCGCCGCCGCCCACCCGGAGACCCTGCTCGCCCGCGCCCGCGCAGCTCCGGGTCGCGAATGGCCCGGCCCGCGTCGGCCCAGCTTTTATACCCGGCGGCCGCGTCGCCCCCTAGAGTCCGAGGCGGCCTCTGTCCCCGGGCGGCGGCGGCGCGGCGCCCGCTGGGTCCTAGCGCGCTGCCGGGATGGAGCGGCGAACCAGCGGGGCCCAGCGCTGCGCTCCTCAGGCAGGCCGCGGCGCAACGCCCACCGCCTCCTGCGCGACCAGCAGAGCCGCGGCGCTCGCTCCAAGCTCCGCCCCCGGCCCAGCTGTCGCCCCTGCGCCCTCGTGGTTGGTGGCGGGGGCCCCCTCCTCCCGCCTCCCCTAGGCACCCATATTCAGCCACGGCTGGGAGCCCAGGAGTATCCCGAGGCTGCATGGGGTAGGGGTGGGTGGCGGAGGGCGAGTCTTGGTCTTGAGCTGCTGTGGCTCGGACTCGCTTTCAAAACCAGAACCAGGCCTGTCCGGGACCCGCGTCCCGGGGAGGCTGCGGCGCAGAGCGGCGGGGCGGGCAGGGGCCGGTGGGGGGCCGTTTGGGACGCGCGGAGAGGCCCGGAGCGCGGTGGCTCTGCGTCTCCTAGCTCTGATCTCCAGGCTACCCCTGTGATTCCGCGCAGAGGCACCTCTCGGGGGACGGCGGAATCCCACGGGCGGCGCCGCGCGGGGCGCTAGGACCCGGCGGGGAGCGGAGGCGGCCTCGGCCCGGGAGCCTGGAGGACCTGGCCGGTCGATCCGCCCGGGCTGGAAAACTTTCTTTATAATTACTTCTCCAGGCCGGAGCGCGCAACTTGCTAGGCGCGCGGGACAGGCGTTGTTACCCAGCGTGGAGTCGCCGATTTTTTTTCCTGAGGGACGGGCGGTCTCCGGGAATAACCGAGCTGGACGCCGGGGCGAGCATGGGGAGGGGCGCACCGAGGGAGGAGACAAACTTGACTCTGGGGCCGGGATCCCGAGGCGGGGGCCGCAGTCCGCGAGGCCCGAAGCCACCGCTTCCTCCCCCCACCCCCCATTCAGGTGGGCGCCAACGGCGGGAGCGAGGGTGTCCAGGTAGCCGGGGCCGCCAGGTCCGAGCACCCACAGGAAGAACTCTGCCCGGTGGTTCGCCGGGCGCTGTGGTCCCCGGGATTCTGGGGACCGAGGCGGCCGGGCCCTGGGGCCCCTTGAGTGTGGCACGCTAACGCTCTCACCGCGGCGGGGGAAGGAGCTTGCTACCGAGAACCCCAGCCACGTGCGTCCCTCGCATTCTTTACCGCAGCCGGGGTGGGGGCTGCGGACTGTCAGCTGGGCCCAGATGGGGTCTTGGGGGCCCTCAAGTGTCTCCTGCCCCTGCCCGCGCCGCCTTTCGCCACTGGCTCTGAGGCCTGACGCAGTCTGGGTCCCGGCTAGAGGCGCGCTTGCCTCCAGGTGAGGGAAGACCCCCTTCACCGACAGTGGCCTTCTTGAAGACCTGGCAAGGCGCCACGACCTGCCCAGGTTCCCCTGAGGGGGCGCAGCTAAAAACACCGCTGGAGAGCCCCGAGCTTCCACGACGATCGCAGTAAAGAAGCAGTTTCATCTGGGCAATGCACACTGCGCTTTAATCAAGTTCCTATTCAACATAGTCCCAGTGATTAATAGCCCAACTGCTTCGTTTTCGGTCCAGAGCTCATAAACAAGATATTTTTAGCTTGACGCTTTTGGACGGGAGGGAGTAAAAACCAGATACGTTAAATAAATAACCCGATGTGAGCCGAAGAGCTGCTTGTTGAGCCAAATGCAGGACCCATTCATATACCATCCACCTGTGGAGGGAGACCTGGACGGAAATCAAAAAACACCCAGAGCGATTTGCATGTTTTTCTGCAGTGCTAAAACTAATGGCTTTTCCTAGCTAGGAACAAAGAAACGCCTCTATACATTCACGGTTCCTGGCCTGTGGAGTTGTGGGAGGAAGGCGATGTCTGGCCTTTTTTGCACAGCTGCTGTTGCCTGCCCGGAGATCGGGAATCCGCTGGGTAGGACTGGAAGAAACCTCAGTAATGGGAATAAGACTTCGTCCAATAGCAGGCTGATGAATGTGTAGGGGCGACAGTGGCAAGGAGTGGGGTTCCCGGCCTGGGGGTCTCCAACCCTAGGGGCCACAGGTCCTCCTACAATTGAACCAGAATTCACCTACCCGAGCCTGCCCTGTGCAGGGTGCCAAGAGCCCAGTGATGCATGAGAAGGTGGCTTGTGCCTCTGGGAACTGGGACAGTGGGAGAGACTCATAAGTTGTCACACAGAGGCTGCTGGGAGGAAGGAGGAGACAGAAGGAGTAGGGGATGGGACTTCATTAATTCATCAAATGCACAGGAGGCACAAATGGGAATCAAGGGTGGATGTGCTATGATGAAGAGACTTCCTGCCCTGAACAAGGTGGCGCTGTGGAGGAGGCAGAGATCAGATTTGTCTGGGGAGGTGTTATGGACTGAACTGTGTCCGTGCCCTAAATTCCTATGTTGAAGGCCTCACCCCCTCCATGTGACTGTATTTGGAGATAAGGCTTTTAGGAAGTCATTAAAGTGAGATGATGTCATATGGGTAGGGTCCTAATTTGATAGGATTGGTGGCCTTATCAGAAGAACAATGTCATGGGCGCGCACAGAAAGGAGGTGGCTGTCTGCAAGCAGGGAAGAGGCCCCTCGGCAGAACCTGACGGTGCTGGCAACTTGGCCTTGGCCTTGGGCATCCAGCCTCCAGAACCGTGAGAAATAAATGTTTATGGTAGGCCTATGAGGGCAGCCTGTGTGGACTGAACCGGGGGTGAGACAGGGCTTCATGTAGGAGCAGACCTTTGAGCTGGGCTTTGAAGGTTGAGCAGGAATTTGCTGGAAGGATAAGGGAGGAAGGCTCTTCTAGGAGGAGGGAATGGTAAGTGCAAAGGTGGAGAGCCTGTGAGTGCATGTGTTCTGGTAACAAAGGCTGGAGAGTGGGGTGAGGGAGGAGGGGCCTAGATAAGGCTGGATCCGCAGACCGGGCTGGGCTGATGGCCAAGGCCACTGCAGGTGAAGGAGGAACCCTTATCTCCCAGGCTTTTGACCTCCCGTTTTTAGCAGGGGAGCTTCATCGTCCAATTTGGGTTCCTGAGAAGCTACTCCGGCCAAGACGGAGAGGGGGTGTTGACCAGATGGGAAGGATGGAGACTTGAGGCCCCAGTATGGAGCAGGCAGGGTAGATTTGAACAAGATATCAGGACTTGGGGAGCTGAATGCCAGGCTTCTGGCTGGGATTACTACCCCCTGACATATGTAATGCCCAGGAAATTGGAGGCCCCTCTCCAAGCCCCCAGGAGGCAACTGGGGACTCATTCCAGGATACTCACCTGCCTGCTTTGTGGTTTTGGAGGAGAGGACCTTGGAGCAGTTGCTAAGATCCATCTACCGTGTTCTGGTTTTTCCTTGGAAGCCTAAGAGTGTACCTTGGGATGAGGAGGAAATGGTTTTGAGGGCAAGTGGTAGGTCTCTGGCTAGGCCCGGCTGGGTGCTCAAAGGACAAGGGGTGTCTAGGGCACTAGGTAGAAGTGTCCTGCCCAAGCCCTAAAGCAGGAAATTAGCTGGGGAGTTGGGGTGAGACCCCGGGGTCGATGGAGCCGCTTTCCATGGGAGATTCCCACAGGGTAAGAGAGGGGCGGGCAGATGCCTGACAGTCTCATAGACAGTCGGCTTGTGGCCGGAGAAGTGGGAGCAAAGGAGAAATCACCTCTAATTGAGAGAAGTGGCTCTGGCTCGTGTGCAATTGAGACAAAGCCAGTCATAAGAGCAGCTTGTCAATTCTTCTGTCACCACCTTTGAGGTCCTTCTTCCTGAGGCTGTGGATGGGGGTGTACACAGGCCCGGTGCAGGGGGGTGAGCGTGAGTCCCCGGGAAACGGAGGTCCTGAGTTTTGGGTGCTCCAGGATGAAGCCTGATTCTGGAGACAATTGCAGCACCAACCGTTTTGAGAAGACAAACAGAGCCCTAGAATTGTTTTATTTTACTTTGGTTTAACCTTCCTAATGCAAGGCCCATGAGAGAATTAGTACGTAAGTTTGGAAATCAATCAAATTCTGAAGAGCAAAAACGGAACTAACCCTTCCTATGTAGTTTTCTGACTTTATCTGAAGCTGAAGTGTGTGTGTAAGATTGGTCGCTCCAAACAGGACCAATTCAGATAAGATAAAAGTCCAGAACTATGATTTCAGGCTCAGCTGAGCTCTGGCTAGGGGCACAAATGTCTAATATGGTCTATCTAATTATGTTTCAGTGATTCAGTAAGATACTCTCAAAGGCCTTCCTCAAATTAGACAGACAAAACAAAACAAAAAAACACTAGTTACTTTTTGTTACAAATGGATTCACAAATGAGTTTTATACTGATTTGTTTTAGGCTTTAGATCTTGACACGTAAAGCATATGAACTCAATGCATAATCAACCCAAAGTCTAGTATTTCTTTTTCTTTCTTCTTCTTCTTCTGTTTTTTTTTTTTTTTTTTTTTTTTTTTTTGAGACAGAGTCTTACTCTGTTGCCCATGCTGGAGAGCAGTGGTTCGATCTCAGCTCAAAGCAACCTCCGCCTCCGAAGCTCAAGTGATCCTTCCACATCGGCTTCCCAAAGTGCTGGGATTTACAGGTGTAAGCCACTGTGCCTGGCCTAGTGTTTTTTATCAACAGGCGCCCAGCTCTACCCATGAGATTACTCATCCTGTCTCCCCAGGAGGCCTAGTGGTGTAGGGAGCTGCTGGGAGGATTAGGGAGAATGTGCCAAAGCCAGTTCCTAGCATGCAGGAGACACTTGCTCAGTAAATAAGAGCTTGACATATTCTTCCCCACCCTCCTTGTCTCTCCATAAGCACACTTTTGAGGTTCTAGATTCCCCCAAAACTTTGAATATTAAGCAACTCATTTCCTTTTTACTTTTTCTCTCTCTTTCTTTCTTTCTTTCTTTCTTTCTTTCTTTCTTTCTTTCTTTCTTTCTTTCTTTTTCTTCTTTCTTTCTTTCTTTCTTTCTTTCTTTCTTTCTTTCTTTCTTTCTTTCTTTCTTTCTTTCTTTCTTTTTTTTGATGGAGTCTTGCTGTGTCACCCAGGCTGGAGTACAGTGGTGCAATCTCGGATCACTGCAACCTCTGTCTCCCAGGTTCAAGCTATTCTCCAGCCTCAGCCTCTGGAGTAGCTGGGACTACAGGCATGCACCACTATGCTCGGCTAACTTTTGTATTTTTAGTAGAGACAGGGTTTCACCATGTTGGCCAGGCTGGTCTCAAACTCCTGACCTTAAGTGATCTGCCCGCCTCAGCCTCCCAAAGTGATGGGATTACAGGTATGAGCCACCACACCCGGCCTAAGCAACTCATTTCAACACATAGTTATAGAATATTCTGGCAGTGTATCAGGCTGAGGTTCTCTGTGTGTTCAGGGGAAAAGCGCCTAGAAGGCATGGTACTCTTTGCAGAACGTACCAAGGCATAACAAATTCTATCTTCATAAGGTAGAGATCATTTAACTGTTAGGAAGCATAACTATATTATATGTACACCATATAAAATCACAACCATAAGTACTCAAGTATATAACAAGTCCATACTGTCAAATTCACAAAAATCAGCTGTTTCTAGTTGTTTCTCTCTGTCTTTTTTTTTTTTTTTTTTTTTTTTGAGATGGAGTCTTCCTCTGACACCCAGGCTGGAGTGCAGCAGCCCGATCTTGGCTCACTGCAACCTCCGCCTCCCCGGTTCAAGCAATTTTCCTGCCTCAGCCTCTCAAGTAGCTGAAATTACAGATGAGTGCCACCATGCCTGGCTAATTTTTGTATTTTTAGTAGAGATGGGGTTTCACCATGTTGGCCAGGCTGGTCTTGAACTCCTGACCTCTGGTGATTCATCCGCCTCAGCCTCCCAAAGTGCTGGGATTACAGGCGTGAGCCACTGTGCCTGACCTCCAGTTTTCTCTTACTATTCGTCTACTATACTATGTGTGTGATTTCTTTTGTCATTTTTCATGTTTATGATATGGTTAGGCTTTGTGTCCCCACCCAAATGTCATCTTGAATTATGATCCCTATAATCCCCACCATCCCCGTGTGTCGAGGGAGAGACCAGGTGGAGGTAATTGAACCATGGGAGCAGTTTCTCCCCAAGTTGTTCTCATGATAGTGAGTGAGTTCTCATGGGATCAGATGGTTTCATAAGGGGCTCTTCACTCTTCTCTCGGCACTTCTCCTTCCTGTTGCCTTGTGAAGAAGGTGCCTTTCTTCCCCTTTGTCTTCTGCCATGACTGTAAGTTTCCTGAGGCCTCCCCCACCATGCTGAACTGTGAGTCAATTAAACCTCTTTTCTTCTTAAATTACCCAGCCTCAGGCAGTTCTTTATAGCAGTATGAGAAAGGACTAATACATTTTGTTTATTTTATTTGCTTACAACTGCTAGCAGGTAAGCAGTAGCTGGCACCAAACATTCTAGAAAAAGAAAATTGAGTCAAAATTGTAAAATCAAGGTCGGGCACAGTGGTTCGTGCCTGTAATGGCAGGACTTTGGGAGGCCAAAGTGGGAGGATGTCTGGAGTCCAGGAATTTGAGACCAGTCTGAGCAATATAGTGAGACCCCGTCTATTTAAAAAATTAGCTGGGTGTGGTGATGCAAGCCTGTAGTCCCAGCTACTCGGGAGGCTGAGGCAGGAAAATTGTTTGAATCTGGGAGTTTGAGGCTGAGGTGAGCTATGATGGCACCACTGCACTCCATCCTGGGTGACAGAGCAAGATCCTGTCTCTAAGAAAATAATTTCTTAAAAAGATTAAAAATTCAGAAAGTTCTATCTATTAATTTTGTTTAGCAAATTGGGAAAAGCCCTTCATTCTATTTTGGTGGAAAACTTCTTTGGTAAAATGATGGGTCCTCAAACTCCACATCTAGCATTTGCAGAGCACTGCAGAAGGCAAGCATTGGATGTGGCAGGTCGCCTGTGCTTCTGTGAGATCGGAGACAAGAGTACAAATGGCAGCCCCCATAGCATCTGTTTAAATATGAAAAGTTACCAATCAAACTGAGAAACTGTTAGAGAAAATATGTTCTACCTTCTTGTCTTAACACATGCATCTTTATCATGTCCTAGAAGACCAGATAGAATCTGGTTTGGGAACATGGTGGTGTGGGGACACCCAGCAACACCTATTCTCTTCCCATCCCACCCTCTATTCCATTCCCTGCCAGAAAGGTCCTGAGTCAGGGGTGTAGATTCCCAGCACAGGGTGCAAATGCTGCCTATGCCCCTTGAAAAATGCCACACTCTCTTCCTTCCCACATCCTGGGGCTTGGGGGCCTGGTGAAGAGGCCCACGCAGGCCCAGGCAGCTGGCCCTGGGCTGCTAGGACAGGAAACTCCTTGGCCCGTCGGCAGGAGCAGCCAGAGTGGGGCTAGTGGGCACCCTCTCCTGTGAGGGTCCAGCACGGGGGCCCTCCTGCCTGAGTCTAAGGGTGGCAGTAGGCCGGTACTCACAAGGTAAGCAGGAGAGCAGGGACTCTGCTGGTCCTAGCCTTGTCTGGGGGCCCCTGGCCCTGCTTCTGTAGG